ATAGGTATAGAATTCCTTGTTACTGTCAAAGGGACAAGCTTGTATGTGGAGAAGGATGATTTGTTTGAGTGGCGTTCTATACCGAACGTCGTCATTGTGAAAATAAAGAAGTTGATAATCCATAAAGTTTTTGTCATTTCAGTGGAGAAGTACACACAAGTGCATTGTACTAGATCGTTAGATTTAAGAAGTCACTAAATGTATATATGTTTTATAATTTTAATGACAGCTGGTGACACGCATTCTATAATCTAAAAACTTAGCACCAGGGAAGGTACTTTTTTACGCCTAGTTGTACATTTCTTGAACTTGTTCAACCGTTTCCAGATAAGAAAGTACAAATATATTTCTAAATCAGTTTAATATGTATTGACCTTACTGATATACACGACTTTACTATTTAAACCATACTGTTACTGAAGCCAGCTGAAAGTATAGTCTCCATCCAGTGTTATTTTACTCGAAGATAAATCAAATGTTAAGAAATACGTAGATTTCATAACGAAAACATACATAACAATATGAATCATTTGCCATGTGCCGTCGAGCCTGCATTTGCACGGTTATATTACATACGGTGAAATCACAAGACCCTTATTACACTCCTTGAAGATATCGCTCATCAATGCATTTTTCACTGGCGATCGATATCAGTCTGGATGGTAAAAAGATGAAGTTATGTCCATTAGAACGCCATTTCGATTCCCCACATGGTTGCAATTTGTGAAGCACATTTCAAATGTCTCCCACACTGATATTGCTGGACTGTTGGTAAAAGTGGCAGATCCTCGAACCATGGCGTTGGTGGCAGATTGTCTTCCAGATAGAACCCGTCCAATGGACTATGTAGCAGGAACCTGCTCCTGCCCTCGCCATCACGTGCATCTCCGAACTGTATCCCCAGGCTCGCCATACACATTGCAAACATCACACCTTCTGGAGCGTCCACTCCATTACAAAATCTGTTGTACTCTCCCTTTGTCCCCAGACGATGCAGACCCTGTTTGCTTAAGACAATCCCTGCAAACTCATCCGGGTATATCACTTCTGTCCCAAATGTCGTCCTTCTCAGTTTATGCCCCCAGTAAACAATATTTCCGTCATCTTGTCTTGACAGGTAGTGACGTAGGTTTTCCATAATGACGTAAGGGATACCACGTGATATGAAGAACCAATCAGCATCTTGGAAATGACGTCCATAAATATATCGCAATACTTTTATGAAATTTGATTGGCTTATTTTGACCCAGTTAGGTAGTCTGTCAAAGGACAGAGCTGGTATTGTCTCGTTATATCTGTCTATGAAGAGCAACACAGACGTGCATTTGTTTGTCCAGGAGGTTCTGGCAATACGCTCTTGATGAAGAATATTAACTATCTTCTTCTTGTAAAAGATCTCCATCACTCTGACGTTCTTCACTTCACTTTTATTGATGCCGTCTGAAACGCACGTAAAATATATTAATTATTGTAGGTCCATGTACGATGTGATTTTGTCCATGATCAGGCCTCTTCATTGTGACACGTGCAAATGTGAAACTGAAACATTTTAATTAGACTAAGTACATATGTGAAACTAAGAAATTTTCATTTGTGCAAAAAATGTGAAACTAATACAGTTTAATTAGTGAAAATGTGACAGTGAGACATCTTAATTAATGCAAGTTTTGAAAGTGAGTCGTTTTAATTTGTAAAATTTGTGACAAAGTGTTAGTGCATTTAATTCATCTTTGAAACTAAGACTAATTCGTACAGATGTGAAAATGAGTCATTGCTGTGAGAGCACATGTGAAACTAACACGATGTAAATGGTGCACATGTGAACCTGACACGTTTCATTCAGTGCAATGGGAAACCTTGTCCCTGCGTAACGAATAACTGCAAGACTGATATGGACTTTAAATTATCCATGCATTTCCAGTTCGAATAAATCTATAATCACTACGCATAAAAGACCTACTTCCTGCCTAACCAAGCATATATCTACATCTTGAAATATATATGTATAGTTAGCCCAGTTGGAATCATTGCCTGCCATACCCGTGAAGATCCGGGTAAGAAGTGTTTTTAGCAACCCATGCTTGTCGTAAGAGGCGGCTAACGGGATCGGGTGGTCAGGCTCGCTGACTTGGTTGACACATGTCATCGGTTCCCCATTGCGCAGATCGATGCTCATGCTGTTGATCACTGGATTGTCTGGTCCAGACTCGATTATTTACAGACCGCCGCCATATAGCTGGAATATTGCTGAGTGAGGCGTAAAACTCAACTCACTCACTCACTGTTTTTGTTACTTGATTATCTGGTACAGACTCGATTATTTACAGGCCGCCGCCATACAGGTGGAATATTGCTGATTGCGGCTTAATACTAAACTCATTCACTCACACTTTCTACATCTAAAACTGTTTCGTACAGTAATCCAAGCCGTAAACATTACCTGCCAGATCAGGCCATTTTCCCCCTGTGAAATCAGCCGCGTGCAAGGGAGGTAACTCGTGTGTGTTATGGTCTTGCTTTGAAGCTGTCTTGATCACAGCAATACCAATACCCAGCAGGAGCTCAGCACAGAAATGTCTCAGCTTAACCGTCGTGCATCTGGATAGCTTCCTCATCTAGAATCTACAACAGGTGTGAGTCATGACGGTATAATTATTTGTTAATGATATATTGCTATTTCTAACATTTATATCAACACTAATAAATAACATCTGAGGTATGTTCAAGACTCGTCAGTCAAGGCAATGATGTATCGCTTATCATCTTAGGCCGCTCTTGTGATGCAAAACTGATCCCCAGCATGTGCTGTGAGGTGATCGGTTGGTCAGTTTCGTTGAATCAGTGTTGCCAACTCGTCCCGATGAATTGGATACGTGTTTATAATATGAATCACTGGAATATTGCTTAGAGCGGCGCTGAACAACACGCAGATACACAAGCAAACACTGTCAAACCTGCCACGTTGAATGACGCCATAGTTGCTACTAATCTGAAGGCACAGTTCGGTGGTGGATAGAATATATTACACCGCCAAGGTACATTCATGCCATATCACCAAGTCATGTGCGATGGCTTATTGCATTGCGCCCCTATTTAAAGAACCCTTTTCTTGAGCAGTATAATAACAGTATATTACAACAGTTGGATAGCTGTGTGTGCATTAGAGCGGGTTTACCGGTATTTACCGGTTCAGACATGAAAACGATACGTATTGCGATATGCTGATCGAAAACCAGTATTTTGACATGCATTCGGAAAACTTCGAAACACTCGGAAATCTTTGGATATTTCAGTTTTTTCATGGTGGGTTGATGATGGTGATGAAGGTGTTGATAACTGTGGTAATGGTGATGGGAATGATCGTGGTGAAAATTACATTTAACTGGATTGTTAAGTTCGGTTTGAAGTTGTGTTCAAATGTTTCGCTAAGTTTTGGATCTGAATGTTTTGAATATTTACTCAATAATGACCAGTGGTCTCTGTTATGTCCTGATCAGGTCAAGTTGCTGTGTAAAATCTCAGGGCTTTCTTGAGAGTGGAGAAACTAGTAACCACTGTGTTGATGTTAAATTGTTTCATTTGTGCCAAATTTTATTCACATTTTTATTTTGTCATGATTAAAAGTTTTTTATTAAAGCTTAATCAAGCATAGTGATTTTATTGTGTGTGGTTTGTTTTTATAAATCAAGCATGAACTCGATTATAAGTATTTTTTATAAAACTTCTTGCAATATACATGTTTTGCAATATACATATCGCAATATATGCTTTCGCATCAATATATGAAAATTCTCTGCAGTACCCACCCCTAGCAAGGAGTGTCTTGAATTCCAGTCAACGTATATGTTTTAAGTAAAGATATATAGAGGAGTGTTAGGACAACATGTATATCGTCAAGTTCCCTTACCTTCATGATCGGAGCCCAGTAGCTTTGAACTAGATATGAAGTCTTAGCATGCTGCGTCCTTGCTTCAGGCATTGCTGTGATTCTCCGTTGATTTACAATCGATAACGTTGTAAGGTGTCATTTCGGAGTATTTCCCCTCTTAAGGCAACACATGTTGCCGTGACTATCTCTTTTGTCCTTAAAATTTACAGTTTTCGTACCTGCGAATTTCGTCCCACGTTAGCGGAGACGCCACGTCATGTACCTGTTCCAAGACTGGGGATTGTTGCAGGTAAGTCAACACCTATTCTATTCATTATGCTGTTTTGTTATCTAGCATTTATGAAAGTATGGCGTCACATCTTTACACTCCGTGTCCTGTTCATCTCGTGTTTGATATTTGTCTAATATCTTACCTCACAAAGAAATGTCCCCAGGCACGAAGTGGGAGGGGGGTATAGGTTTCAGCTCCGCCCCTCGGTCCGAGATGAAGTGGATATTTTTTCTCAGCAACCGTTATAGATCGGGAAACCAAATTTGGTATGTGTTTTCAGGACATGAATGCTTTGATGGACTTCGAAATCGGAAACCGTGTTACAATTTTTCAGAGTTATGGCCCCTGTCATACGTTTCTTGACTCAGTGCATGTTATCCTCAATGAGAACAGACTTTCCCACTCAACAGCTTATGTATCGCTATTTGTAGGAAGAATGAAAGTTGTCAAAACAGGAACAGAACATTGATGACCATGTCTTCTTGTTTTCAGCGTACCCCGCTTTTTAGCGAGTAACATATTCTATGTTACCCTCTGGAATGTCGAACTGTGGGAACTCATTTGTTACTTCGTCTTAGTAATTCTTTATCTCGAATAATTGAGTCATGTATGATGTACGGAAACTACCGATGTTTTGCGAATGCAAATTCATGGATGGGAGATAACTCTAAATTTGTTTCTTTTGTGTTCTGAAAGATTCTAAGTTATAAACAAATCTAGCGACTGTCGGTTTGGGCTAATTGCCTAACTCTGGATATGCATGCGACGATGCAAAACAATCTTTGCAATGCGAATCTCCTCAATATTGGAGATATCTCCTGGGGAAATCAAACACAGCCCTGTCTATGAAAGCAACTTTAATCTCAAGCGTGATATTATACAAAGGATCCTGTATATCTGGATTCATGTTAGGTTAACGTGAAGGCGACCAATCCCCCCTGCATTGTCATCCGTCTCTGACTTGATAGATTCCATCCCGAGCATCTGTGTTGCTAGGGTATCAGTTGGAGCGGACTGGGCCATGGCGTACCAACTCCAGGCACCGTCGTAACCATGGAAATAAGACCACTTGAACTGATCCTGTGACGTCATTCCGGCTCCTCGAACCTGGTTGAACTCGGCGATGACGAGAGGTTTGTCCAGTTTATACTCCGAAGCGTTGTGCTAAAACAGTTAATCCCGGGGGCGTTGTATATATCACTGGGTCCTGTCTTCGTGTCCCCAAGTTTCGGAGTTAAGTATAATAGAAATGTAAAGAACATATGACTGACAAGACAAGAAAACATATCAATGGTCGACTCTAATCGTTACCAAACGTGAAGTAGTATAACCATTCTATTGTGAACCAGTGCAGGTCATTAGGCAGATCTCATTACTGTAGGGCCCGTAAAGATCCGGGTTAGAATTGGTCTTCAGCAGCCCATGCTTCTCCTAAAAGGCGACTAACGGGATTGGGTGGTCAGGCTCACTGACTTGGTTGACACATGTCATCGTATCCCAATTGCGTAGAACGATGATCATGATGTTTATCATTGGATTGTCTGGTCCAGAGTCAAGTATTTACAGACCGACGCAAAATATCTGGAATATTGCTGAGCGCGGCGTTAAACAACAAACCAGCCAATCCATCGTGATATGATATAGAAGATGCATGAAAATGACAAAACCATGACTATGATCACACGAAGTTTATGTTAAAAGCATAGTCTATGTTACCATATGTTATTATAAGAACAACTATTATTGCGGGTTTTTTTTTAGATATCTGAGTATTATACATATAATGCGGAATACAGAATATGATCTCAATGCTTCAAAATAAAACGAAATTATATAATTTAGGATCTCAAAACTATGGCGTGGCATGAGCTCAACTATACGAGTGTTATAGGGATTTTTCTTGGAAAAGATTTTGTTATAGATCTTTTTGTGCGAGCTATTTTCAAGCAAGCTATTGCTATACCCAACCCTGTTCATCGTAACGTTTGAAAAATGGCATTACCAGCCAACAAACACAAACACCAATATACTTATGTTCACTAACCAGAGGGCGGTGAGGTAACCTAGTGTTTAAAGCGTTCTCTGCCACTGACAAAGACCCGGGTTCGATACCCCACGTGGGTACAATATGTGTGATGCCCATTTCTGGTGTCCCCCCACCGTGATATTGCTGGAATATTGCTGCAAGCGGCGCAAAACTAAACCCACTCACTAACTAACCAGGAATGGTGCCCAGGAGTCGAATATCTGCGTCTTCTCCCCGTCATAGGTGTGAGTGGAATAAAATGTCAGATGTCCCTGGAAACAAAAAAGGAAACCAATATATTACAGCACACAGTAGAAGGCCATCAGGTAAATTACGTGAAATATGTTTTATACAATTTTATATATTTTTATGATGTTTCAAATAAAGACAATTCATGTATTTCATATATTTGTACATTAAATGTGCACAGCAAAATGAAACACTATAGTAGTATGACATATTTACGTCGAAGGCATGTGTAACCCCAAACAACGAAGTGAGCAGTGATCTCATATCTTCGCCGATAACCGGGTACAAGCAAGGTCTGTGACGGCCTGAGGTTATGCTAATTAGCTACTTACACAGTGGTAGTTGTTTTGACAAACAGAGAGAAGTGATGAGGTATAATATATGTTTATTGAAAAGAGCTTATCTGTGGTGTGTTTACCTTTGCCAGTTATCCATGTAGCAAATGAATTTATAAAATAACATTTAATGTACAAATGTCCATGCAGGTAGCAAAAGTAATGTAAGTCCCCATGGTCCCTCGTTTGGTGATCTACCTTCAGTTGTTGGCGATCTATAGCCAGTTTTTATATTGTATTGTCCAAATAGTGCTATTAGTTTTAATTTTCCACACTAGTTTTAGTTGTAATTGTGATATTCTAGTTGTTTTACTGTCCTTTGTCGACAGGTTTTTATAACATACATCTATTCCATTTCAATGTTACATATGTTCTCGTCACGATCCTCCAAATGTTTTCACTTTTTATTGTATAAATTGTTCTCGTCACGATATGGCTGAGATATTGCCGACGAGACGTTAAATATTAACTCACTCACTCACTCACTTTAATGTACAAATATATAAAACATATTTCACGTTGTTACTCTATAACAAAAGTATTCAGTAACCCAGTAAAAGTGGACTAACGGGATTGGGTGGTCAGTCTCGCTGGCTTTGTTGACACATGTCATCGTATCCCAATTGTGTAAATCGATGACATGGCTGTTGATCACTGGATTGTTTGGTCCAGACTCGATTATTTACAGACTGCCGCCATATAAATGGAATATTGCTGACTGCGGCGTAAAGCTAAACTCACTCACTCATTGACGTGAGAGGCGACTAACAGGATCGGGTGGTCAGGCTCGCTGGCTTGGTTGACACATGTCATCGTATCCCAATTGCGTAGATCGATGCTCATGCTGTTGATCACTGGATTGTCTGGTCCAGACGCGATTATTTACAGACCGTCGCCATATAGCGGGATATTGCCGAGTACGGTTTTAAACAGCAAACCACCAACCCTCACTTTTTATCTCTCATGTAAATACACTCCAATTATATAATGACGACAGTTGGACATACCTGGGGTTTTCCTCCAGCCTTCTTCATACACTCATCCTTGTAGTAGTTGAAGAAAGTAAACTGATCTGTGTTAGACCGCACGTTCCACGACCCGGCTGTTATAGGCGTGCTCGGGTCCACGTTTCTTATAGCGTCGGCTTGTCGGGAAATAAACCTGGAATATACAATCGGGGTACACTTTGTTACATCCGCAATACTTCACCAGTCCTGATTATACAGGGTGCTTTTTTGAGACACCAACCTTGTTGAAGAAGCCATATACTAGAGTTCCTAGGAATCAACGCTTGAACCAAAAAACGTACAAAGCTTTAAGAACTTCAGAATCCTATGAAGAAAACTCAACCTCATACAGGAAGTAAGAAATGTAGCGAACCAATTCGACGCCACATCCACCGCACCCGGTGTCAGCGATCTAACCCAATCATCCAATGGGGCATCCAGAAAATGAATGTCTGGCACATAAAATGAATGAGTTGTTTTCTTACTGCTGTGATACCGCGAGACATAACCAGTGGTTAATACTATGAGCAAGTCCCAGACCTCCGGGTCTATTGTACTTATACCTGGTTATATAATGTTAACGAGTTGAGTCGCCGCATTCAGATAGTATTCCTGTTCTACCACGATGCATCTATGTTAAGCGATATGTCTGTCTAAGGCATTAACCGATTTCTATTGTGTCCAAGGGACATAACTCTGTGTATCTTTATACCACTGGCACAGAAGCTTGCGTGGAACCGAAACTTGACCGTTGACTGAGTGAGTGAGTTTAGTTTTACGCCGCACTCTTCCAGCTATATGGCGGCGGTCTGTAAAAAATCGAATCTGGACCAGACAGTCTAGTGATCAACAGCATGGGCATCTTTCAACACAATTTGGATACGGTGACATGTGTTAACAAAGCCAGCGAGACTGACCACCCGATCCCGTTAATCGTATCTGACGATAAGCATGGGTTACTGAAGGCCAATTCTAACTCTGCTCTTCACGGGTTTGTCCGTTGCGGCAAACGTAACACACGGGGTGACCTGGCCTCAGATGCTTGGACATATAAGTGCCCATAAGCACAAAGCGGCCTCAATGCAACCATTGGGTTTGTACTAATATCGCTTTGTGCAAATATATCAACACAGCATTAGTATACGTCTCTTATAATCGTGATTTTGTTTGTGAGTTATCATCATGGTATCATCCATATAAATAGATTACAGAACGAGTGGGAGAATATTGAAAATATTCCAACGAGGTATTTGTAAACGTTTTGATTTATTCACGAGCGAAAGGGAAAGCGAGTGATAAATCAAAACGTTTACAAATATTGAGCTGTTATATTTTCCGTAATGAACATCCACGAGTTTTGTGATCTATTTATTACACACACGACGGTAAAAATATGTGATCCATGTTGACACATCAGGCAGGCGGTGCCGGTTGTAAACAAAACGAAAGGGAGATAACTCTGTCACGACTACTTCAAAGATGAAAATAAATAATTACAAATATTCAATTAAAAAATAATACTAATCCCCATTACACCGGAATTGAATTTTATTTATCCACAAACCTACTGTTTTGTTTGATTGACATTTTTGACAAAAACTGCTTGAAGTTAAAGCTTGGAGTTAAAATGTTCAATTAAAATATCGAGGTGGCAACAGAGTCCAGCATTATGCGTCACTATCGTTGAATAACCTAATTTTGGTTACACAAAAACTAGTTGGATGACTTTCAACTGGTTACCCAGCACCTGTTTCCAATAAGCAAAATTATCTCATAAAGATATTCAGAACAACGTGTGTTATAAATAATTGAATATCAATAAAAAAAAAACGTGAACATCTACCCTGATTTCCCCAGGAATGGCATCAAACAGGCAACTAAAATCTGACATCGTTGGAACTCATTTATCCTGTTCACCCCTTGTATTACGTAGCAAATCGAATAATTTTAGGGACATGCATGGGGTTTTCTTAAACACATACAGAACATTGAACACACCTTAAAAAGTCCTGCATTGAGAATACTTTCCCGGCCCAATCAGCTCCGGAACCTTGCAGGCTGTTTGTGTCGAAGCATGGTTCCGAGTTAGTCTCGCCCGGTATGAGAAGACCTTCTATTTCATTGATGATGTCATATCCGCCCAAACCAGGTTCATCCTTGATCGCCTTGGCCAATGGGATGAGTCCATTGTCGATGTAGGACTGTAAAATGGATTCGTCCTTCACCAAGCCGTCCATTTTGCTGCCATGCAGGGCGCCATTCCACAGAGTAAGGAAAATGACAATGTTGTACTTGGCTGCCGTTCTGAGATACTTCTTGATGTCACTGATGAATGTTCCTTCCTTATCGAGGCTGACCACGTGACCGGAAGAGTCAAATTCCGGAGTAGTCTGTCCAGTTACGTGGATCCATGTTCCTGGCAAATATTTATTTGAGCGAGTGAATATGCTCAACACTTTGAACAATATTTATTGCAAAATTAAATGTCAAAACGAAACGTCAAAGACTGACTGACTGACTGAGTTTGGTTTTACGCCGCTTTTAGCAATATTCCAGCAACATCACGGCGGGGGACACCAGAAATGGGCTTCCCACATTGTACCCATGTGGGGATTCGAACCCGGGTCTTCGGCGTGACGAGCCAACGCTTTAACCACTAGGCTACCCCACCGCCCGAAACGTCAAAGAAGCAGCAGTCTCTATCATCCGCCTAAATAAGTCCTTTGATTTGGTAGGTTCGTTTGTTGTTTAACGCCGCACTCAGCACTATTCCAGCTATGGCGGCGGTCTGTAAATAATCGAGTCTGGATCAGACAATACAGTGATCAACAGCATGAGCATCGATCTACGCAATTGAGATGCACACTCCTCTGAGCAAAGTAGAGAAATGGCATAAAGGGACAAAACAAAAGATGACAACATATGAATGGATCACTTAAAGTCAGTGTTGACTCCGGGTTTATCTAATGGGGTGAGACACGTGAAGATCCGGGCTAGAATTGATCTTCAACAACCCATGCTTGTCGTAAGAGGCGACTAACAGGATCGGGTGGTCAGGCACACCAGTTGCGTAGAACAATGCTCATGTGGTTGATCACTGGATTCGAGTATTTACAGACCGCCGCCATATAACTGTAATATGGCTGAGCTGAGTGCGGGCTAACCTAAACTCATTCACTCACTCTATCGGAATAATAATAATAGTAATAATAATAATAATAATAATAAATGTGCATTTATAATGCGCGCAATCCAGACAGATATGCCTGCTCAAGGCGCTACAATGGGAATGTATAAAGATAAAAGTCAGGGAGTGTTGAGTGGAGTTAAATGTCACTATGAAACTTATGGGTCTTTAGTCTTGATTTGCCGGTAGCATTTGTCAGGCACACATGCCACCATTCGTAACTACTCGTGCCTTTCCGTAACCTGAAAGTAGACTTGCACCCCTCTCGTAGCCATGTCCGGGAGAACTATTCCCCCCGAATGCGCGCATGTAGAGAAGAAATTGGGTCAAAATAGTAAGTTGAAATAAGTTTCATTTCGGCTTGCATAAATTTTTTCCCAAACACTTTAAGTTTAATTTTAATTATCGCATAGTCCTCCTGGGTTTCCTGAATATTTATAACCAGGACATATTAACATTATGGCGTAGGAAAGTATTTAAGCATGTTAAACATACCCTTTGAAGTAATTTCTTTGGCGTGGGTGCCGTGTTTGTTTTCCAAGTAAACAAGAGTTACTGCCCTTGAAAATAGTTCAGCGACTAGACTATTTCGTTCTCTCTGCGCTTTTGCGCTCAGACGGAGTCTAGTTCAGTAAAATGGCTACGAGAGGGGTACGAGTCTTCGTTCAGGTTACGGAAAGGGACGAGTAGCTACGAATGATATGCCACGTAAACATAAGGGTTTGTCTTTGCGCTAACGCAACATAGTGACAGGGTCTGATGGGAAACGAGACAGTCAAATGGAAGATCTGCTGACACATAGCACATGCGCTGATTTTGTTTAAATCGGATTAGCTGTGCTGTGTACAGGAATAGAGAGTCTGCTGGTCAAAAGTAAAAGAAATAACGAGAGAGCTGAAGCACCATCAGATGTTCCTACTGACACTGTTACAGTGTTTATAGAATGTTAGAATTCCATCAAAGACCATCCTCTAACAAGAGGCCACAATAGTCTACTCAAGGTCAATCAGTGAAATACACAAAATAGGAAAACAAAGGAAAAAACGACATAAGCCAGCATAACTAAACGTTCGTTCCGACTCGTTATGAACTATAATCGATTTCGTTTGCTATTTACATATAATTGAAAACAAATGCGATATGATCAAATGACATGTTCGATATGCTCCCTGCCATTGATTTCATTGAATTTATAGGTTGAAGTGACTTTATACTCACGCATGGAGTTTCCACCAGCTTGCTGCACTTTCCTGAGGAAACATTCAAACTGAGTCTTCCTGTATTCGTACTGGTTATTCCCGAAATCGTAACCATAGGCAACCCAGGCCTGATTTGCTCCAGACAGAAACACCTTCTGGTCGTTGATGTAGAAGTGCTTCCCTTTGATCTGAAGCTTCCGACCTAGGATATTAGGATAGAGTTGGAGATACTATGAGAGAGAGAGCGAGAGAGACAGAGAGACAGAGAGACAGAGAGAGAGAGAGCGAGAGAGAGACAGAGAGCGAGAGAGAGAGAGACAGAGAGAGAGAGGCAGAGAGAGAGAAAGAGAGACAGAGAGACAGACAGAGAGAGAGAGAGGGGGGAGAGAGAGAGAGAGAGAGAGAGAGAGAGAGAGAGAGTGTCTGTGGAAGTGGGAAACCGAGAAACAGAGAGAGAGAGAGAGAGGGAGAGAGAATGGGTGGACGAGGGTGGGAATTGAAAAAATATTTACCTGAACCAGGTTTGCTTAAATCTCCATAGTCAATAGGATCGTTGACTCCATCCGGGCACTTCTGAGAACTTTGTGGTGCCTGAGACGGGTGGCCGCCATTGTTGTTGTTGTTTGGGGCAGCGGTAGTGGGCGTGGGGGTGGTGATGACAGGGTGGCTACCCACGGGAAACTTACATACGGGGAACGCGTTGTCGTAGGCGGCGTCACAATCCTGGTCACTCCACACACCCTGGGAGAACTTGGCCATCATCTGAGCACATTTCTCCACGCCATTCCAGTTGTCAGGCTCACCTGGATGATTAATTAATATTATATGATGTCACCCGGGACTAGATGTGGGAAAGGTGAAGTCGATGTGAAGGGGGCTTTCAACTGTTTTCATTTTTGTCACTGTTTGCAGTCGTGATCATGCAGCCATCAGACGTCCCCACTTCCATTAGCCCGGGATGATGCTTGCAGTTCTAGACTCAGTCTCGCCGGTTCAGGGTTCTGATACACCGAAGGGTGGTAACTCTTGGTATCTCCAACAGAAGAATACTTACCAGTGTGGAAGTACCAGTATTTTACGACAGATCCGTCAGTCCAGGACCAGGAATTATCCAGAGACAGACCAATCCAGCAGGACCCGCCAGCTGTAAATAGCCATTTCATGAGGATTCAACAAAGTATTACAAAGAAAATGCCCGTTAGAAGCTCTCATCAGGGTCATATTTGAAAGAGATTCATTTTCCTCGGAACGTACGTTCTGTACCAGAACGCAGCAGCAGAACAAACTATAGTTAACAGGAACCAGTCTTCATTGCACGCGGTAACCAAAATATATATACATACAGGGCCACGTACACGAGTGAGTGAGTTGTGTTTTACGCCGATTTCAGCAATATTCAAGTACTATGACGGCAGGGGACACCAGCAAATTGAAATTAACAGGAACCCATTCTTCTTAGCAAGGCATACATACAGAGCCACGTACATGATACGATAACGGCGCTCGTATACTTACGAAGAGTTACGTCAGCTGTAGGGCCAAGATTGCTAAATGTACGTAAAAGTAGATCTAGGTGTGTTTATTATGTCTGGAAAATATATTTTATAAAAAAAAACAATGATGTTCTGACATTTTGACAGAGTGTACTCTCTTTACTTGTATTTTACGAGATGTTGTGACATGGTGGGACAAAAGGAACAGACGCTTCTTTTACATTTTAGTAAGAGTGCAAATATTTGTTTCCAGATTGAGACCAAGGAATGATTACCTTTCCGACAAAGTTGGTTCACTTGATCATTCTCTGTCTTGCTGTGAATGGAGACAAGATGGCCGCCATAGCCAACACACACATCCTCCGCTTGTTTGAAGGTCATTTTGACGTTGACGAGTTGGATGTTAAAACCTGGAGAAAACCCAATATAAATGTGATCAGAAAAAGAAGGAGTAGTTATAGTGATAGTGATAGTGATAGTTTATTGCATTTCACAACAAATTTCAATCATCCTCAGTCAGGAAGTTTTGACTGCTAGTAGTAGTAGCAATCGTTTTAGTTGGAAGAGGAAGACACGGGTAACAGTAGCAACATCATCATCAGTAGTAGTAGTAGTAGTAGTAGTAGTAGTATAGTAGTAGTAGTAGTAGTAGTAGTAGTAGTAGTAGTATTTGTTGTTGTAGTGTAGGTGCAGGTTTTGTTTTTGTTAGATTTTGCAACAGATGTTTAACGCTATCTCAGTAACGCTTGTCTTCACCAAGTTGAATGCTATACAATGTGTATCGGCGCCTTCAACAAGACTTAGTGGTCCTTGCCCACATGAAATGTCTGTACACACAGAATATAGACGGTTGCCATGACACTGAAGAAGCCACAACATTACGAAACCGGATCGTTATCTGTGAATCCACTGCAGAATCAGAAATATATACTAACGGTTGAATGCAATTGGTCTGTGTGCACCGTGGAATCTGGTGTAACGTCATGATCGTGCTGGAATAGTGCTGAAAGCGGCGTAAACCAATACGCACCCTTAGACATCTTATCTAAGGGACTATTTAAAATTATTAACCACCCTGTCAGTCATTGCTGTTTCAGTTTACATGTGATATGCTGATGGCGTATGTTTTGGGAGAGTCAGTTGAAATATCGGACAACACAAAAAAATGGAGATACAGGGGCCCTGTGACCGGAAGACGTATAATTTGTGATGTGTTTTTTTTCATTCCATGACACAAAGTATTAGAAATTAAGTATATATAATGAATACATTATCGGACTTGATTAACGTTACTACCTCCCGGGTTTGTTGACCCCGTACTGGGTGTGGTAAGGTCAGGGGCGGTCAAGGTCGCGCTACTATCCTTGACCCTGCATATAGGGTAGGCGTGGTCGTAGTTGGCGTTGCAGTCCTGGTCACTCCATTTTCCGAGGCCGAACTTCAACAGGAGCTGGACACACCCCTCCACGTGGTTCCAGTTGTCAGGTTCTCCTGTAATCAATAAGGTCATAGGTCATGGTATCCACATTGAGTAAATAATCCTTATGATTTTTGTTTGTTTCTTTCCCTGAAATATGTACCAACGCAACGCACATGCAAACACATCTGCAATACGTAAATAAACTGTTTGTTTTATGTTTAACCCTAAAACTATAATAATTATTGTTAAAATCATAATTACACTCTTATGATTCCTCCATTCTATTGTATATAGTTCTTATCTTATTAGGGAAAAGTTTGACCTTGGCCTTCAGATTCGTTTACAGGAAAAAAAATCATTCACAATTTGGCACTTGTCACAGATGGTAAAGTCACATGAAGGCGAGGTGATAACAGCTTCAACTCGGTTTCACAATCTCACGGCTCCATGCTTCCGAATGTCACGCATATTTGCATTCATTGTGACAAAAGTCAAGGTCATATTACAAGGCCGCCGTTTGCGATCAACAGAAATGTCGTCAGTGGACGAATCTCTTTACCCGTGAAGATCCGTATGAAAATTAATTTCCAGCAACCCAAGTTACAGATTTGTGATCACGTCACACCTATATGTAATATATATGCAGTAATTAAAAGTTTTCTTCGACCCGGCTTTTAGAATTTCTGGGTTTGAAATAAGTGATATTTTCACAGCAGTGAAAAAACTACTTCATGACACAACACAGTTTACTGTCCAGTATCTTGTCACATAGCTCAATAAATGACTGTAAACATGTGCATTTCACCATCAAACCTCCAGCGAAATCGCGCCGTTCAGCTGACCGCAGGGTCATTCAGTGCAGCCTCACTGCGCGAGTGCTACTGTCCCTCTCTCTGTTTCCCTCTCTCTATCTCGTACGTCACACGAGTGTCGTATCGCGTTGACCTGTGTCGTAACGACTTGACCTGAGACTCTAGCGATTTGATTGGATAACCGATGACCCCTCAATTAGGTTACGTTGTGAAGGAACTACTTTTTCATTCATAACAAACACGTGAATTCATTCATTCTATAACTTATATGCACCGTGGGAATGTAAACATTGCGAACGTTGCCGTGTCGCTGTTTAATTGTGAGTCGAACTGAGACAATATATGCGTCTAAACACGTAAACTCAAAGTTTCCACCAGTGAGGTTAGCCGAGTGAAGCAACTGCAAACTAAGAAACGGGGTGCTACGGAGTAGTTTAATGTAGGAGACTGTACGAGGCGATGACAACTGACATGCATCGTGACGTTGGTTACCAAGGGGGCAGACGAGCAAGGCGTAGTGACGTCATTACAGTGTGACGTCATGCAAAAGTGTACTACAGAACAAAATGCTTCCGCAACCTCTTTATGAAACCGGTTTCGGTTTCAAACAAAAATACGCTATTTTGTCAATTTAATGCATGTAAGACGTGGGTAATAAATGAAAAACCACACTCGGTCTCATAACATACGAATCATACGAAACTCGTGACCTTCCTGTGGTTTCTATGGATACCATAGGAAGGACACTCGTTTCGTATAATTCGTATGTAATGAGACCTCGTGGAATATTCTCTTATGTATTCGGGCGCAAGCACCGAGTTTGACGTTCCCGCGAGGACCACAGGAATCATTTGATGGATATTATTTTAAGTGCTGATCTTATTCAAAGAATGAAAACAGATAAAAAGATATCAACTCATATGTGTTGTCTCGATTTTTATTTTATTTTCGAAAACCGAACTATGTTTTCTCTGTGTGCCTGAAGAAAGAGGTATTCAAATTACATTTGAGAGAAGTTGAATTTTGAAAATCAAATTTTCTCACATTAATAATGTTTTAATTTAATTGAACAAAATTGGAAGCATGTAATAGATTGAATATACATGTATCATGAGTCTGATGAAATATGATGTATCCGTCTGTCATCTCGAGACGTGAAGAACATTTTCATATTCATGAGTGTGACCTTTGACATTTCACTGACCTGAGTGGAAATTTGTGTATGGCTGTTTTGACCCATCTGTCCAGGCGAAGACGTTGCTGGAGGCGTCCAGACGTCGGTACCCCAGCCAGCAGTCACCATGAGCTGGAGGAAGGGAATACCAAGTTTAGTTAGAAAATGTTCAAGGGGGACTGTACAAAGAATGCCTTTCTAATATGAATATAAAGATAACCAGCTGGCACTATAATGTGCCGTCATTTTCGAATTGCAAGCTCAAAAAACGTATCGATATGTTACTCAGATCTACGCCATTCGTATTCCAAGCTAAACAGCAAACAGTCTCCATATGCCGAACAAGTGTCAGAACTATTTGACTCTCAGAAATGCATATCGAGTACTCATTTATGCTGACTCAAACAAATATGGTTATAATTCATCGCGATAATCTTAAGTGTGAGTTAGTTTAGTTTTACGCCACTTTTAGTACTATTCCAGCAATGTCAAGGCGGGGAACACCAGAAACAGGCTTCACAGATTGTACCCATGTGGGGAATCGAACCCGGGTCTAAGGCATGACGAGCGAACGCATTAACCACTTGGCTTCCCCACCGCCCGATAATCGTAGGAATATATCAAAGCGAGTGAAGAACTGGTAGAATCATAACGTTGCTATCTCAGTCTAACAAAATGACAGAAAAAGCTTTAAATCCTATGGTGAAAACTTAGGTTGTTGGCAGGCACATAAGCTTACTAGTGAGTGAGTGAGTGAGTGAGCGAGTCAGTCAGTCAGTTTAGCCTCACGTCGCAAGCTTACTTTTGAGTGAGTGAGTCTGTGAGTGAGTCAGTGAGTGAGTGAGTGAGTGAGTGAGTCAGTCAGTCAGTTTAGCCTCACGTCGCACTCAGCAGTATTTCAGTTATATGGCGGCGGTCTGCAAATAATCGAGTCTGGATCAGACAACCCAGTCATCAACAGCATGAACATCTGTCTACGCAGTTGGGATACGATTACATGTGTTAACCAGCCTGACCACCCGATCCCGCTAGTCGCCTCTTACGACAAGCATGGGTCACTGAAGACCAAATCCCGGATCTTCACGGGTAGAAACTCTAGGCCTAGAACACATACATGTTCCTGAAAGATGTAGGTACGACACTTGCAACCAACTGATCTGGTATGACTGATTGCTCTCATGTCTCATGTGTTTGCGTTAATACCATCTGCGTCAAGCCGGGTTTCCATGTGCGCGTAGTGCGTGATGCATAGTGTGATATACTTTATAGTATATCACTAAACAGCCGTTTCCAGTGCGTAGAGCCCGGGTTCGATTCCCCACATGGGTACAATTTGTGAAGCCCATTTCTGGTGTCCCCCGCCGTGATATTGCTGGAATATTGCTAAAAACGGCGTAAAACCATACTCAGTCAGTCAGTCAGTCCAGTGCTTAGTGCGTGATGTTGCATCCGCTCAGAAGTGTCCAAAGCATCACGCAGCGTAGGGAATCCCAAGGGGTTTTCCCAATGTCACATGGTTTTCATTGCACACACAAGTTACAAAATGCCACGGAATTCGGTGCCCGATATACTTGAACAATTAATTGAACTCGTTAGATGCAATCCAGCCATCTGCGATGCATCCAGGAAGGCCCACAAGGATGTTACGAAGATCAGCAATATTTGCAACGCAATTACAAGGAAACTCCAGGAAAACAATGACCAAGAAGGGACTGATATTTTGAATATGTTTATCATGTTAAGTTTCAAAGTACCGTTTTGAATTTACAATTGTGATAAGTATGCCCTCCAGGAAAAGAAAGACTTGATTTAAGGCATACCCTAGCTTTTATACACGTACACATGGACTTGGACACTACGCACACCTAAGACGCACTACGCATTACGCAATTACGCAGACAGTACGTGAGAGTAACGCGACTTTGACCAGTATTCCCGTTAAAGGACGACTCGACTGCTTGACCAAGAAATGCAGGTTTTACTCGTTTACCAATTAGGTGAAGCAAAAAACAACTGCGTTATTGACAAACTAAGAAACAAGATCAGCGGGACCATGGATTCGATCCCACGAACATAGATTCCGTCTCGCCTAAGGGACGCAACTCTGCATGAAGAAATGTGGCATCTCAGAAAACCTGCCCATTTATGACAACCTTACCTTTAGCTTCTATTCTAGATTTGACATTTTGCAGCATAAAACGTCGTTTCCTTTTTCATGGTACACATGCATAATATTCTGAAAAAAAATGATGATGAGAAATGCACAAAGACATGTTTTCTTACTCATGCATGTATTCGTGTACGCTCAATCGCACACGCACACGCGCATTAATATGTCGTTTTCAAAAGACAAACATTTGTTCACTTACTCATGTCGCACAACCTGTGAGCTAGATCATTCTCGACATCGCTGTGTATTGACGCCAGATGACCGCCCAGAGTCTTGCACCTGTTCTCCGCGTCATCAAAGGTCATCGCGGCTCGGACGATGGTCAGGTGGTCAGCTGAAACACACATGGATTTGCATGCGCTATACTAGAAGTTGGCATAACAGGGCATACAAAAACAAACGCAAAGGAACAAAATTTCATAGCAAAATTCTTATCAAAATTTTTAAATGTGTAAAGTGCACTACGGTCGTAGTGGTGGAACACCGTCACTGTCGTGGAGATTATTTATATATTTTTTTGTTTATTTACATTTAGATTGTTTTCACGGTGTAATGATGCCGACCTGCAGAAATCACTATCTCCATGACCTTTTACAAATATAGAATTATCTTTAAGTGAGTGAGTAAGGTTTTAAGCAACATTCCAGAAATATCACGGCGGATGACACCAAATATAGGGGTAAACATGGTACCCAAGTGTAGATCGAACACTTTAACCAATATCTCGCTTGTATGGAGGCTTTACCTGGACTAAAACCTGGACTAAAGGAATCGCGTGCCATATTCAGGTTGTTCAGTATATCACCCACTGGATTATCTACCTCTCAGTCGTTTTTTACCGTCAAATTAAAGCCACATACGGCCTAAACAATTACACGTTAACTAACGAGGGAACGACAGATTATCTTTCTCGACCCTTACATAATATATATAACGAGGCCAAGATACATGTAATCTGTCATTCCCAGTCACGAGTGCCAAATGGTGTACCTCCCTAGAGACTTACAGGGAAATACTTCCTTCCCATAATGGGTAATTTTGCCGTATTGACAGTCAATAACTAACTGTTTTGCATTCAGAATGAAATTATAATAAGGGTTGAATTAGGCAAATTCAGTGATAGAACATTTCAAAACTAGGTCGGTATTTCCTTCATAATATCTCAAATGTAATGACTTTCCAAAAAAAGAGATGTACTTGTGTCAAGGTAACGCACCTGAGACGATCCCAGTCCCAGCTAGGAGTCCTATGCAGAGGACGAGAACACCCATCTTCATCTGATCTGCAACATGCAATACATCGTTTTGTTTAAAACAAATGCGTTAGTTATTTTTCCAATGTCGGTATTCTATGGTACCAACAAGGCCTGCTGATGAGCCAATCTATTTTCGGTGTTGTTATTTTGGGGCTATATATTGTCACTGCTACAGTCGAACCCCAATGTCTCGTACTCGGTTGAGACGAATTTGCGGTTGTGTCGAACTCATCTCTCGGTCCCTGTTGATTTCCTTGTATTTATCATTATTTCTACCCTGATGTCTCGAACTAGATCTGTCGAATTCCTGATTGTGTCGAACTCAGTTTAGACACCCAAAATAACATTCCACATCACAAAGTCATCAGGAGTATGGAACATACGACTTATCCGCATTTCGAGACAAGCGGGGTGTAGGCATTCAACCACAGAAATCATCATGGTTCAAAACGTTACATTGAAGAAAACTATATCTTTATGTTGTTTTTCAACACGTTGTTAGTAACTCAAATTATGGTAAACATCAAAATGTACTATGTATACTGAGTATATTTCGCAAACAAAGACGTAACCTCTGTGTCAGCCATATGAAACATGGGATTCGAACGTGACGAACATTCTATCCAATGGGCTACCCTACATATAACATAAGCCAGTATGGGAATATCATTGTTTAGAATCGACAAGAGATGCTGATATATCTTACCTTCCCAATACCTCAAACAGAAGTATCTAGTACTACCGGCTATGATCTATATATAATACATGTCTTATCTATCTTGCAGCACATGCTGGAATTAACACCTGCTACCACGTGACCTAATGGCACCTGGTTATGTTTTGGGACCAAGTATCGTTCACTGTAGACAAGAAATAAACCATGATAATCACTTCCCTTACTGAGTGAAAACATCTAGGCTTGCCAAGCATTCTAGATGAGCGAGAACGTTTTCGTATACCTTTCGTTCCAGGGTCTGCACGGGGGACATAAACAACGATATCCTGTTTGTTTGAGATGTAGATTCGAAACATATTTATTAATATTTATGATTATCATTTATTATTGTGATTTATTTAAAATTTCCCTACATCGGGTGGATAAATAGACCGATCCAGACTGTCAAGCAAAACTAGCGCATAAGTCAATTTGAGCCAGAAGGCTGGGTGCGCTTTGCGGATTTGTAAGAGTTACTTCCGGGTTCAAAGTATGCCTCCGATGCAATGTGCGTTCGAATTACGCCATTCTCACTCGCTATATCCTCTACGTATTGCGAGGATTTGATGTGAACCTTTTATCATATACCCATGGAACTTAAGATAGTAATGCAGGGGTGCAATACGGATGCCGTGGTCAAATTCCGTAGTGCACCCCAGATTCCGTATTGAACTCCTGCCGGTTCTACTGATTTGTTTTATTAAGTAACAGATTAATGCAAGATAAGAGGGTATGTTATAAATATAGAACGTCATACTAGTGCATTTGGATGTTTTGTATTAAACTTGTATTGCTAAATACAGATGCAGATGATGTACACCCTCGCATGTAAAATGGACCTTTCTGTATGTAAAGTGAGTGAGTGAGTTAATATTTAACGTCACCTCGGCAATATCTCAGCCATATCGTGACTTCTGTATGTAAAGCAAACATTACATTTCAACTTATAAGTTTATTCCTGGACAAAAGAATTATATAAATAAATTGCATATGTTAAAAGGTATTTTTTGTTATTTACACTGTATATATTTTTCTCATTATAATATATATAATATTATAATATTATAAATGTATATAGATATTAAAATGGATTGTTAATATTGCTAAAAATACAAAATTTAAAAATCATGTTAAAAATTACAGCGATAGCTTAGCAATGCAAATTCTAATACAACGTAGCATAAAATGTGAAAATGCTAAAATGCCAAAATTACAACATACAAACTCAAATCAGAAATCAAAGCTTAATGTGCTCATTGTCTATATCAAGCCCCAAGTTATTGTTAAGTGAGTGAGCCAACCAGCTAGTGGGGTAGAACCAACGCAAAGTGTAGGGGTACTGAGAAAACATGCATATGGGTCATTCTCAAAAAGATGAACAAATTCGTGCTATGAAAAATATGAAAATACAAAGCATCATACTGAATTATCTCATTATTGTTTTGAATGGTCAACACATTAAAAAGGTGATATGCGGTCATGATAATTTGCACACAGGAAAGTAATAAAAATATTTTTACAAAATAAACTTTTTTTTGAATGTATCCACTGAAAAATGCGGTCCACACAGTGGTGTAACAAAACATAAAAGTATTCTTTTTTCAAACTTTGATGTCAGATAAGGAATTTTTCATATTTGTCATTATTTACAAACTTTTTCTATTTTCAAATATAAATTAAATCGTTTCATTATTCTCACATATTTAATTGTAAATTTGGCAAAAGGGCTTGGTGTGAGAAGAATGTAATGGTAACATATGATATTTTTTTTTCTGAAATAACTTGTATACTTAAGACTGAACATGTTTTATGTATACAGTGGTATTAAAGCTGTTTTCAGTTATCATAAAATATCAGTCTAACTGTTAAATTATTCTTTTGAAATAATTAAATGTTAGCAAATATGCATGTTACACCACTGATATTTTTTGATATCCTGCCTGTTACACCACTGAACTTTCTGCAACTTACTGGAACAGTAAACCAAATCAACAGCCATATGATGCTTTGGATTACTTAATAATCATCACTGGAGAACGGCTTTCCAACATGTGACATTGGAAAACAAATTATATCAACAGTTAAGATTAAAATGTACAAATTCAAAGAATACTGTGACACCAATGACATGTTGTGTTACACCACTAATTTTCTTTACCTCAATATAAATCCAAATTAATTGCCTATGTTGTAATATGGTTACACCAACGACATTTTTGTTACACCACTGATTTTTATTGAAATAACTTCAACGATAAATTCAAATTAATTGCCTTTAATTGATCATTAACAGAATTGAACAGCTCAATAGCAACTTTTGAACACTCAGATTTTAAAAGGTTTTTCAAAAATAATATTAAAAACAATAAAATGAACATATTGTAGTAATACTGTTACACCAATGACATTTCTTTGTTACACCACTGATTTTTCTGAACTTTATATACTAATATACCAGAACAAATTACCTTCACAGACTTTACATGAGTTAATGGTCATAAAATATACTGGATAAATACAATGCAAAGCAGTTGAGTTTTGTGAACAAGTGACTTAAATGAACATTTTGTCAGTGGTGTAACAAAAACTGTCAGTGGCGTAACATTTTCCCATGTTATACCACTGACAGTTACACCACTGACCTATTCCCACTTTTATGAACTTTATAACAATTAATGCTCCCTAACCACAGACCACCTGGCATAAATGTTGATGTTTTAGCAACTTTGATGTACTTTAAATAAACATTGTTATGAAAAAGAACACATGAATAAGAAATCAACGTTACACCACTGACTCGATAAAAAGTTATGATATAAAGTAGACTCACCAACTGCATCAAACTTCAACATCAAAATAAAATTTGGCCTCCACAAAACTTCTGCCACGAGAAGAAAGTCATCAGCAAAGGGACCATTTAGTGTTTCATATTTTTTACTCAAACGAGATAATTATTAATGTCACAAGTTTATATTCGTTACACCACTGACTGTGACATTTTGGACAGTCATTGTTTTCATTGTAATTATGTGATTTTCATTTTGTTTTCAATATTTCATGCAGGAATGTGTTTTTAATATTGGTGTTTCATTCTAAATCTTTAAAAAATATGTATAAATACCCTGGAATTTAAACTTTATGGTACTGCAAAGTAATGTCGCTGTCCACTGACAGTGGTTTTTCTTTCAAAATGATGATAAAAACCCAATTTTGTCCCAAAATAACAAACAGGTACACCATTTTACATCATTATGAGGAACAAAATACATTTTTCTTTCATAATATGATTTTTGAAAAAAATTGAAACAATATTTTCAGAGCAATGTGTTACTGACCAAAAGTTGGGCAAATTTTGAGAATGACCGCGTTCGAGATTTCAAGACGGAAAACTTTCGCTGGCGGTGAGTACTCGGAGTAGGCTTTGATGTGAGCTATGTTTTGTTGATATTTCACAGGCGTGAGCTTTTTATATGTTATGACAGGTGATTACCGATTTAACTGTTAATATAATTTCATTTGACTATTTCACCACACGTTCTTCTTACCGAGTCACTCTTTCAGTTCGATACTTAACATCAACGTCATTTTTTAGCATTGTCAGAATTTCTAACTGTGATATAGATATGCCTCTGTCTCAGACAAAACTCAATGTCCGTTTTATTGACACCTATGTGTCTGCCTGCCTGTCTGCTAATGACAATATGCAATACACAACTTCGATCAATGACCACATGCAATTTGAACTTAACACCTATCAGGCTATACACCATAAACAAAACACATTGAATTATGGCTCGTGCACCCGAGTTCTGTCTCTGTCATATTATGTAATTACACAGACAGGCAGGTGTGATACTTGTACACATGACATGTTATGATGTCTGTTGATTGCAACATGTTATACACAAACAAATGAGCATGTATTTACAAAACCCAACATCTCTATACACACACAAAGAGTGTATCTGCAAACGAACCAGCCAATGAAAGAAAGTGTTCGTTACACTTGAGTGCACGCCCACCCACTCTGACTGGGTTCGGTATCCCGGGTGCTTCGTTTCGAGGGAAGTAAACCCAAGTACAAAATATTGCACTTTTGATTTGCGATTGTATGCTTATAATTTTGTTCATTTGTTTTTTCATACTCAGCAATGTATATGATATGTCACGAATAAGTGATAATTGTGTTTTAATTATGTCTGTTTCTTTGGTTGCATGTGACATTTAACGACGGAAGACAAGGGACTAAGCGTAACCCTCACTGCGCTGATTCACAATCATAAATCACCTTCTATGTAAATATGCGGCTTGACACTCCTTCAAGTTTGTATGAAGATGTCCGCACCAGAAGAGTATGAACTTCAGCTACAAGCCTCAGACGAACACAAGGTAAGATGAAATCTAAAATATATATGTGAATGTTTGTTTAGATTGATTTATGTTGGTACTGACATTTATTCTATTTATATGGCAAACATGTGACACTGGGGGAGACCAAGAAGGACAATCTTGACATTGTGAGAAATCAGAGAAAACGAAAGTTTTGTGAGTTATGAGCTCTCAAGTATAAGTCGATACACGCGCAAAACACCTGTATGCGTACATAACATCGGACACTGTACACGCACAACAACATGTGCATGAACACATATACAAATAGACACACACACACATACAAAGACACTAGCTCGAAGGTATACGTGAACTAGCACACAGAGATTTGAGGTAAAAGAACAGTCATGCATTCAATTTCACACAGTCACGCAGAGATGAATTATTTCGGTTTCTAGTTTAGACAACAAAATAATATATTTGTATATCTGACAAATCATGTTTGAATTACATATACTATTATAAGTAATAATTTATTACTTATACCTAATATGCATATTTCTTTTTTATCGGACAAATCAATTGTGTAGCTTGTAAATTTATGTGACTAAAACCCCTTTTAATACATATATCAATGTATAATTAGTATTTTGGATCTGGCACTTCACTTGTCCAGGAAATACATTGTTTGGAGTGATTAATTA